GCTTCTGGAGTCTCTTCCCACCCAAGTCCATAGCAGCATGTTCGGGCTATACATTTGCTAACTGGATTTTTCCTGAGCTCATATTTATGTCACATCGTATTGTATATATTTGATTAACGTATGTTGTTTTCATATTTAATCTGTGCCCACTTACTCACATTCCCTGCCATTTTGTATTTATTTAGCACTTAGTTTTGCACAGAAAGGTAACTGTGATCGATACAATGTGACAAGTTGCAAATACATATTCTGTGCAGATCTATTTTGCTGCAGTTGACATAAAGAACTTTGGAATAATGGTATGCTGTGTTTTGCATTTGACACTTTGTTATGGGACAAGTTATTCACCCAATAGTTACTTTATATAAGAATATTTTTCTGTAGCTGTGAGTTCTCTGTAAAGCAATATTTAACCATTCTTATTTATTTTACTGTCCATTGTGATGTCCTCTTAGAAACTTGACAATAAAATCTATTCACCACTGGGACAAACACTGATGCTTCTCTGTGTTTCAAATGGAGATGAACAAAGTTAAAATGTCTGATTTGTTTATCAGCAATCACTCCTTGATAACATTATAAGGAACACAGAAAAAGTTTTGCTGTTGACTTCAGTGGACTTTCTCCCATGTTCTCTGCCTAACAATAGTTACAAGGTGGGGCAAGCATTTTTTAAAAATATGATGTCTGGTAGGTGGATCTGACTTGCCCCCTCTCCTCCACAAAAGGAAATGAGACAGTCTTACAATGATATATGGGTAGCAGAGGGAAAGGAAATCCCAAAAGCAAATGAAATGGTTGACCGGGAGTCAATCCAATGGCGTGGAGGAATTTTCAAGTCCCTTCCTGATGAAAGATGGAGCTGCTGCTCTCAGTACTTCAGAATCCTAATTGTGGCAAGAACATAGGTATTTAACAAATGCAAGGTTCCTGAGCTGATAAAGCTTCTGAAGAGCCTTTTCTAGTCTGTCCAGTAGCTAACTCTTAAGGGTGCTTTAAATCTTTCCAATGCCATCTTAGCCACTGCTGTACTAATAGTCAAGAATGCTGGTGTAAAGTGAAAGACCCAAATGTTTCCAGCGAAGAGAGATCCAACCTCTTATCAGTACCAGAAAGCTTCCTTGAGATTACCCCTTCCCTCACCCCCTCAGAATCTCCTTATCCACTGGAACAAAGTGGACCAGGACGTTCTCTGATCACAATTGGCCTTCCCTCCACCCCGACAATCAACCTTTATGATGATAATTTATTAACTCTCCTCACCTCAAAAAACTGGAAACTGCAAAAATGGTAACGACTGAAGAGATTTGAACTGCATTTTTGCGAAATATCCCTCTCTCGTGACCTCTGAGCAGTAATTCAAGACTTCTGTTAGTGAGAGGGACTGTTTACTCAATTAATTATTGCCCGGTTTGAAGTAGCTGAATTGGAACGGGAACAATTAATAAAAGGCAATGAAAGCAGAGCAATTAGATCTAACAGGATGTGAACTCTTAGGCTATTGCTGCATACCTCAGGCATGTTGTGATCCACAAAGCCTAAGTCATGCACCAGTGACCCAGGAATGTGCACCCTATTTTGGCTTAGTGCTAATTTCTATTTGAAACATACTCCATATTCACAGAATTTAGGCCACTCTCCAAGACATTAGACTGCAGTCCAGATTTGATACTTATTTTGTTGTGAATACTTAATGTGAATAGAGATGAATGTAAGATATTAAATACAGTTTTGCATCTGTCAGGGGGAGAGTTTGGCCTGGCTCTTGTTATAACTTTTATTACCCTTTACTTTAAAAAAAATTCCAATGTTGGGGAGGACATGGAAATAGAATCAGATCTTCAGATAGTGACAGCTTCATCAATTTCAATTTAACATACCAATTTCTAGCACTTTAGGACCAGCACCGAAAACTCTATGTCAAACAGTAACAGCATATTATAGAGTCCTTTTCCTGGACTGATAATGGAATTTGAGACCAGAGTCTCACAGAAATGGATTCCTTTAGTACAATGCTCTACTATCACGAGCCATTCCTGGCTTATGGCAGGAGTATCCAACCTGTGGCCCAGCCCTGAAGGCTTGACATGGTGGCTGCCAAGTTCAGTAGGTCAGGATTTACTGGTGTGGTGAGCTACTATACTAAGAAAAGGTATATTCGATTAGGCATTGAAAGTGTGCTCCTTGGGCCTCACCCTATAATTTTTAAACTGAAATATCTGAATCCGTCCTGATGATATGAAACACCACTTCTCCAGCTGCCTCCCATTGGTTTCCCTGCAACATCAGGAGGAGCAGCTCTGTTCTGAGTCAAAGGGGTCTGAGCATCTATTGCCCCTTCCTTTTCTTAGTTGCTCATCAGCTTCCTTGCTGGCCATTGGCTATACTCGATAAGAAGGAAGTAGTTCTGGCTACTCCATTGTTGCTTCCCTGACAGGCAGTGGGAGCCCAAGAGAGAGCTTTACTGGCACTACTTGAACCCAAGAGATGTCTCTCCTCACCCTCACCAGGAAACCCAGCAGCAGAAGAAAAAGAGTCAAAGCTGGGAACCCAAAACCTATTATGGCTTCCAGATTCTCTGCTCTAGTACAGCGTAAGGACTGCTATAACTTACTCCAGCTGTCTATGGTACCTAATAATGGCTGTTATTCCAAAATAACTATGCGAGTGTCTACCCAACAATTCCGTTATTTTGAAATAATTTCAGAATAATGGCCAGCTTATTCTGACCTCTGTAAACCTCATTCTACGAAGAACAACACCTATTCCAAAATAGTTATTTCAGAATAGGAGTTGTGTAGATGCTCCACTTCTGCTATTTTGAAGTAGCCCCTCACCGGAGCCATTCTAAGTTATTCCTCTGGGGCTCTAAATCGAGAGAGCATATCTACATTAGGGAAGCCTGCCTCAGATTAATTTTAAGGCTTCCCTGTAGTGTAGATGTACTATTTTGAAATAAGCTATTTCAGAATAACTATTCCAGGATAGCTAATTCTGAATAACTGTGCACTGCAGATGCAGCCTAAGAGACCATATAATGGATGAAGATAGCTGGAGGCCAGAACATCTCAATCACTCCCATTCATAACCCATGCAGTAGGGAATGTGAAAAGGAAGTTCAAGGAGCTAGATATGCTAATTCTGTGCCTACTGGGGTCTCCCCCATATTGAGGGAATCCCCATCAAGAGACTTGAGAGTGACCTCTCTTCCCACAATAAATGTAGTGGAGCATGATAGAGAATATGCCCTAAAATCGTAATTGGGGCCTCCTTTGATCTTTGTGAAATAACATATTTGGTACTCAGACTGGAGCAGTGGGACACCACTGGCTTGTAGGAACCTAAAGTTCTCTGCATTCCTTGCCTTCTATATGGGGAGTTACAACTTTTGATGTGCCAGGGCGTGAATAGCCTTTCTTGTATCATGGGCTTCTTTCCACCCATACTGAGCTCCTTCCTTTGTTTCCTACTGAGTTGCAGCCAGCACTCATGAAGCACTCTTCATAGGCTTGTCTCCAGCAGACTAGCCATTGAAGAGGCACAGGTAGCCCTGCAGCTGTATGCTGGATTATTTCAGCATCAAACTGAAATATGAATACAGTAATTGTATGCAGGGGTCAACAGCAGCTGTCTGTGGCATAAATATCCATTTCTCCTTATGCTGTGGCTGCTTTCTCCTTGTGTCCTAACACTGAGGGGGAACAGGAGACCATTTGGATTTTTTCACTAGGGTGAATGGGAGCACATTTTTAGCAGTCTGTGGCTGTTTTCTAGAGAATGGATGGGCACTGGATTAGAGATTGGTCCATAGACTTGAATTATCCAACGCTCACTGTAGCTTTCCTGTGTGTTGATTCAACAAAGTTGGTGCAATTACATATATAGGTTGGAGTGACATTCACCCCTGTGCAAATAGGGTGCAAGAGGCCTATGTACCACTTAAGACCCATTTATTTTTCAGGTTTTAATTAGGACTGAAGTGGTGCATAGGCTTTGTGTTGGATTTCCACGTTTGTGAAACAATGAATTTCCACTTTTGTGAAACCAAATAAATGAGGCAAGGGCAAATTCACCATTATGCCGTGGCTGCTTTGTGCCACTCCTGCAACACAAAGAAGCTATAAACACAACTTATTGGACCAGCTAAACTGGGCTTTCAGTGGCTAGCACAGTGCGAAGTTGCCAGTAAATCTGATCCAGTATTTTTAAATATTAAATCCTTTAATTAAATTTTGTGTTCAAAGGAAAGAATAAAAATTATGCTTAAGGGCTTTATGCATTGGTCCATTAGTAGTGAGTTCTTTCAGCAGATAGTTGAAAGGTTCTGTCAGCAACAGTGACTAAAACCTAGGTCCATCTTGTCTTATTTTTTTCATTTACCTTCAAGCAACAGTGTAAATCATATTTATGAGAATGAAATATCTGCTCCATCCTAGCTGTAGCATGAAACAGACAGAGCAAGTGGCAGTTCAATTTAAGATGAACAAGTGATAAGCAGAGAGCCACAGAGTAGATTGGATTTAATTAAAAGGGGGCATACTTTATCTTCTTGGATTATGTGAATGTTTTATTTTGTTTCCTCTCTGGAGCTGAATGAAAAGGATCAGCTGCTGCTAGAAAAATAAAAATGGAAGTGTCATGAGAGAAGGTTGATCTGATTCCTGCATTTTCCTCCTGTTTTTATTTTTGGAAAAACAATATTCACTCTTACGTTCAGAGGACTTATCTAAGTCATAACCCCCTTCTTACTGATTTCCAGGTTCTTGGTGCCATGTCTTATAAAGCAAATAAATTGTGCTCTCTCTCTGAATATATTAACACACACTTCTTACAGTGATTTGACTCGACTCTAATGACATCCTTGGCATTCTTTCTCGAATATGCACAGTGTCCTATACAGGCAAACCCTCTCCCTCCAGAGTATAATGGACATCTGGGAACCCTTCCACCTTTTTTCCCCAGAATTCACGTCTCTCATACATTTTATGTTCACTTTACAGTTGTTCAGCATATCAAACGACACAATATTGTTCTAAAAAGGGAGCTGGGAGAAGGAGCCTTTGGGAAAGTCTTCCTGGCCGAGTGCTATAACCTGTCTGCAGAGCAGGATAAGATCTTGGTGGCGGTAAAGGTAAGAAAGTCTAGGATTTCCACTGTGGTTTCAGCTAATGATGTTTTATTTGTAAGTGATCTTGTTTGCCTGTTCGGTAAACCCAATGTGACTCCTGTGATATATGTGCAAGGACTCATGAGGCTGATGAAATGTCAAGAGAATATGATATTTGATCTTGCTGTGGGTTACAAAATGAGAGCTGAGTTTCATAAAGAAAAGGGGGGAAATTAGAATATTTCACTGGAGCAAAGTCTTTCATGATCCATCTGAAATATGAAGAATGAAAAATAATGGCAGACGTCATTAAAAATAGATGGGGAATCGTGTTCATATGTCTAAAAAAACTACTTAAACCATAGCCAGCTACATGACTAGGTTACACATGTAACTGCTAGTCAACAAAGAGCTATTTCACAAAGGTTCATGTGGTTCTTAGTTAACTGCCAGAATTTTACAATATCACTTCCTGGCCTAAACTTTTAGGGTATAGTTGTGTTGTGCTCTTAAGCAGCTGCTATATTGGAACCCAGAAGAGATTGCATTTCGGTACGAGGAGGATAATTCTTGGTTCTAGCTCTCCATTCTGCCCTTCCAAATTAAAAACAGTGAGAGGAGGAAAACTAAGGAGAAAGCATCAATAACTGTGAAGTTGCTGAGATCTGGAATTAAAGGGGAGCAAGAGTTTATCAACGTCACAGAAGGGACCAAATTATGCAGAACCCCAGGCTCCAGAGAGAAATAGGAGGACATCCCCACTGGTCTTGGGACATCTGTACAGTAGCTAGGCTGTTGCACAGGCACTCTCCTGCCAAGCAGCAGAACTCCCAATCCCATCTGTGGACATACAATAGAAAACATAGTTCACTATGTCCTTGTCTACACTAATGGGCACCGTTGATCTCCTTCAGCTATGTTATTTGCATAGCTGAAGTCAACATATGCACCGCAGCATCTTACATGTGGAAAGGTTGTCAGGGGCTGCTCTCCTGTCAATACCAGTTACTCTTCTTGTCTTGGTGGAGTACCAGCATCGATGGGAGAGCATTCAGAGTCAATTTATCGCATGTAAGCAAATGTGATAAATCAAAGGCCAGAGGATTGATCGCTGTAGTCAAGGCCTGATCCTCACTAATTTCCACTCCAGATTTTGGAGTTTGCTGGGAGCATCCAATGAAAAAAGATCAGTTCCTCTACTCTTCCCTCTACCTTTGTCCCACCAAAACACACAAGGTTCTGAATATGAAAAGTAAGGGTATGTCTACACTAGCTCATTAATTCGAGTTAGGTAGGCAAATCAGGGAACCGGTGTTGCAAACAAAGCCCGGGATTTAAATATCCCAGGCTTTATTTGCATGTTCCCGTCCGGCCGCCATTTTTAAATCCCTCTTAGTCCGAATGAACTGCCCCATGGAATGAGGAGTAACAGTTAATCCGAACTAAGGATTTAGTTCGGATTAACTTTAAACTGCCGTGTATAGCCACGGGCAGTTCATTCAGACTAAGGGGGATTTAAAAATGGGGGCCAGACAGGAACATGCAAATAAAGCCCGGGATATTTAAATCCCGGGCTTTGTTTGCAACCCCGGTTCCCTGATTTGCCTACCTACCTCGAATTAACGAGCTAGTGTAGACATACCCTAAGAGTCCCATTAAAGTCAGTGGTACTATTCATGAACATCAGTTTTGCAGTTAGGGAACAAAAACAATACCATGTGACCTTTCACAACTAAACAACTATGTGCAAATTTTGAATATTCATGCTCTATCCATAGAGTAAATCATCCTAGCTGATCTTCAGCATATAAATGTAACCAGCAAATAGATCTGAGTAACTTGCAATGTGAGAACAGGAAAAAAGGCAAGACTTGTCAAATGAATAATTTCTTGCAAATGTTCTCTGAAATGTAGCTTTGAAATGATATATCAGAAGCAGGGAAGAAGTAAGGGATTATATATTACAACCTTAGGATAAATGAACAGTAACAAAATATGTAGCTCTTATATAACATTTTTCATGTATTATTTTGTGGAAGAGGTGAGATTATTTTCTGATCAATTCATTAATAAATCTACACTTCTTCTCTTTTTCCTCACTTAGTAGCGTGGTGCTGTAATCAGAGCCTTTCCACTCTCTTCCTCCCTTTGTCGGTACTGAACGAATGGAACCCAAAGCATAGTCACTTCAGGGGCTTTTTAGATGCTGCCTGCCCTCTCCCTTCTTTGCTGCTCTTTCTCACTACAGTTCACAATGAAGATTACCCAAGGCTTTGAGGGATGGATATCTCCATGGATTAATGGAACAATTCTGTCAGTTCACAGCACCAAGGCTGGTACCACAATCCATGCCTAGGGTAGTACTTATAAGCCATCTTATAGTGAAGGAAAGGATCTAAGCCTCATGTTCCATGGCATAAGTTACCATCTAACTGAACCCATTACGAAGACATTTCCTCTGTGGACAGGTTATTTGCTAATTGCCCATTTGGGCATTCTTACCCCTTTCTCTAAAATATGTGAAACTAGCTGCTGTCAAAGAGACTTTGGACTAGGGTGACCAAGAATGTTTCACCGAGTGTGGCAATTCCTGTGTTCCTTTACCTCTATACATATGGTAGAGCAGGGTCCACTGAAGTCAATGGTAAAGCTTGCATTGACTTAATTGGGAACAGGAATGGGATCCGAGGGAAACATATCTCAAAGCTCAATTCAAAGTACAATTTCTACCTGTCAGAGTTCTGAATAATTTAGAGGGTTTTCATACCAGTAAACCTAGGAAAAACCCCTTGGGACAGAGAACAAAATAAAAATGTTCCTGTGAAAAAGCTTTAGCCATCATCATTGAAGTGCATATTTGGTGACAAATATGTCTATCTCTGGAGGATTTAGGCAGCAGAAAAGCTGGGCATGCTAGCCCAGGGGTGAGCGTCTTTTCACCTATGTGAAATTGTTGTCAGAGCTTCTTTTCATTCATTGGAGGTTCCTCTGGATCTTTGACATGCCTTCTGCTGGTTGCCTGGGCAACCGCAACAGCATTGTGCATGCATGTTAAGAAATAGCTTATTGTGCCTTATGGAAGGAATTGGGCCTGACTCAAAATACAGCACTTTCCTTTTGGCTAGACAAATATGTTAAAGTTTGATATTGATTCAGCAAATGATTTCAGTGCTAAGAGATTCCAAAATACCTGGTTGTAGATAAAATCATATACACACCCAATTACCCATGCTTCTTCCGTTTGGAAATAATACTATTTTTTGAGCCAGTTAGGTTTCATATATTTTGACGTCTAGGTTTTCGGGATAGTGCACTGTGTGTACGCAAACTCTTTTTGTGTAGCAGTTCCTATGCACAGAAGACTTATGTGAGATTTAAATGGTGCATAAGCCTTTAACGAGCCCCCTCTCTACATGGTTGGGCTATTTGCTTCATGGCAGTTCCAGAGGGTTTGGTGAGTGGATGGAGGAGTAGCCGCATCCCCCTCTACTCTATGTCACATTGTCTCTCCAAACCATTACTGCAGACTTAGGGTTGCAGTACCCTCCATAAGCCACTGTCATGGGAATAGTCCATGGGCATTAACTTGGATTCACTTGACCCCAGTAGAGTCAAAGGGAAATAGTTCCTTTGTGGTCTTCCTGAGCCTATGTGGCTGGAATGGCCAAGACATGTCTCATGTTATTGAGCAGCTGGATGTTCAAGTCTTGATCCTGTTCTCAGAAACTCGAATGCACCTCACGTATAGTGCGGGCTACAAGCTAGTGGTGTGATTCCTCTGTCTGTGTGCATATCTCTGTGCAGTCTTTCATTATGATTCAGGTGGGTTTATACATGGTGCGAGCTCAAAGAAAGGTAACCCAAAGATTTGTACACAAACCAGGGACTCACATCCATATCTTGTAGTGTAAATGTAGCCTTGAGAGTCAGCTGCTGCACTTGCATATAGCCATGCATGTGTAAGTGGAGTAGCTGATTTTAAGAGACCAGTGCCTACTATTTCTGACATCAGGAATGAATCATATAGATGGCCATTTGCTTATAGATTTTTATTCTATTTAGGGAAATTCTGCCTTTATAATACACAGAACTACAAACACAACAAAAAAGAAAGGTGAGGATTTTCAGCTTGTCAGATTTACCCAGTTCAAAGAGTTTTTTTAAATCGAACCAGACTTTTCAGTGAATGAACAACTTACCTCCTTGCATGGCATGGGATGGAGAATTGAACCCAATAAACAGTGAAAAGAATCTCATGGTGAAAGCTCAATGCGCTGTGAAGGAAACATATCTATATGATTTTGTTATTCAGAACATTAATGGTAATAATTATTATGATAGACAAACCCTCTAATCCTTCCGTATGGTTCCCTCCTGTTCCCCATGCTTTTTTGTGGGCATACATCACAACTCCATTGCATACTGATGGAGGGTGGGGATATCCTTGTAACAAGTTCTGCACCATGCACCGGCAGAGCAGAGACCCAGAGGAGCAATTTCCAAGCTGTTTCATGAACAAGGGCATGGATTGGGCTAGGGGGAAGGGAAAAATGTGGCCAGTTGATCCATGACTAAACAGACTTTTATCTAGGACAATTCAGGCTGTAGCAGATATGGGACTTTTGCAACAGGTATGGAGGAACTCTGCTACCTATGGGGATACTATGCTATGGAGCATCTCTGCCAGCAGCCAATGTACTTGGGGAATTTGAAGGGCCAGAGTTGTTTCTCAGTCCTCGCTGGCAAAATTCCTATTGACTTTGCTTAGCCTCTTTGTCACTAATGATCATTATGACTATCTCAATTTATTTAAGACACTTCTGTTTCCCCTCTATGGTGAGAATAAGCCAAATATAGTATTCTGTGTCATTTGTGTGTAAATTCTTTATTAATTTTTGCTTACCACAAGAATCTCCATGTATGCCTATTTCATCTCTCTCTAATGCAGTAAAGTTATTGTGTGTGCTACATAGGGAAGAATGAAGGGAAAGATGGGAAGAAGTTGAAACAAACCCCTATGGTAGCAGAAGCTCTCACTACCAACCAGCCTACCCAGATTTTAGGTCATAATTCATTTTGCTGTTTGACGGAAAATGTGCAGTTACCATAGCAACTGCTCCATCACAGGATAATGTTGCTGCTTCTTGAGGGGAAAAAAATAGTTTCTGAAAAACACAATATACCACCTTGATAGAACAAAGTTATCAGCATTTTTACAATCCTTCCAGGAAAATGTGTTATAGGGAAGCACATGTTTCCCCCAATTTTTATTTTTTTTAAAGTAGTCCTCATGAATGCTTGTTTTTAAAAATTAGTTTTACGATGAACTACATTTTTAAAGCTGTCATATTGACATTTAGTTGAATAAGGGCCCAACTAAAAGCATCACAAGAAACCACATTTTGACGCAGTTGTCCCCTGTAATACCATTATTTGTTGTAGACTGGACTTTAGCTCTGTTCCTGTACTACTCTAAAAGTCCTGAACAATCTAATAATGTGTTATAACTTGGTCCCGTAAAGTGGATATACTGTGTCAGTAGATGGAAACTGAATTTATGTTGCTATTAGATGACTTATCACCATATAATGATGTTGTAGAATGGGTAGGTAGTGCAGCAACTAAAAGCCATATTGCACCTCTGACAGAAAGAGCAACCTGAGAGTTACCAACACCTCAGAAATGGAGATTGTTTGTAACTTTGAAATGTTTGGAACGCTGAGTACAACACAGTGGTTGTTCTTTCAAAAGTTTACAGCTGAACATTGACTTTATGCAGCTTCAAAACTTCACTATGCAGAAGAAAAATAATGCTTTTAACCAGAGCTTTTTTTGTGATGGTACTGCCCAGTACGCAGTACCGGCACCTCCAGACAGAGCTCAACAACTTTTCCCCTGGAGTACCGGCACCTTTTTTTTTTTTTTTTTTTTTAAACAAAAGAAGCACTGCAGTTTTAACCATCTTAATTTAGCTGATAGAAGCATAGAAATAGTTTCCTTATATAAAATCATGGGTTTTTTAAAGTTCTCTTTGTTTTTAGTAGTTTCTGTTTAACACAATATGTATGGTATTTGCTTTCTTGTTTTGGTCTCTCCTGCTTCCTGATTATGTACTTCTGGTTCCAAATTAGGTGAATGGTCGACTGGTCAGTTCATAACTCTGGTGTTTGTAATGCCGAGGCTCTAAATAAATGTGATGAAGTATAGCAGAGGCAATGCTATAAAAGCACAAATCTATACTTTATTTGGATCTATAGCAGATATTTACAACCAGTCATGCCAAAAATGCTCTGTCTCTGACACAGTACATTACCTTCAGCTCACTCTCTCACCTCTCCCGCCCCCAAATTGTTCTTTTCATTTTACATATACCTTTCCCTTCCTCCTCCAGACACTGAAAGATGCCAGTGATAATGCTCGAAAAGACTTCCACCGAGAGGCAGAATTGCTGACTAACCTGCAGCATGAGCACATTGTAAAATTTTATGGCGTGTGCGTGGAAGGTGATCCACTCATCATGGTTTTTGAGTACATGAAGCATGGAGATCTGAATAAATTCCTCAGGTAAATTCATGAAGGTGTATTGTACTGGGCAGTTTTTCTGAAACCTGGTTAGGGCAGAAGTATCTTGGAGTCCTGGATCCAACCTAAGCAAGAACATCTGCAAGGCTATTAAGGGCAGAAGTATCATCCAACCTAAGCAAGAACATCTGCAAGGCTATTTTTAGCCTCTCAACCCAAGCCCTGTGAGTACAAGTCAACTGACAGTCTCTCTATGCCATGTTTTTTTCTTTGAAATGTAGTCATACCCTAAGAATTAAAACCTGTAAACATCCAGTTAATTCACATTTTGTGATATGTCTTGCCTCATCCAGTTCTTTACCTAATTAGAAGTATCTTTAAATCATTTCCTTACATTTTTTACATTGTACCACACGGATTTTTCCCCAGTTCCCTGTTTCATTGGCCATAGTTTCCCACGACTAATTCTGCAGATGGTGTTTGTTTATAAAACGTTGAGAGCTTGGCTAAAATGGCATCTGATTCCGAATCATCTTTGGTTTTGCAAATCCAAAGCTTGACTAATGAAGTTTGGCAAAATCCAACTCATATTGTGTTTTTTATTTCTTTCTAGTACTGGGGCCAAATGAAAAACCTGGATGGAAACACCCCTGAACTCGGGGGGTGGAGGGGAGGGAGCGGGGGAGAGAGAGTTTGGATTCAAATCTCAGTTTTGCAGCCCATTCTCTTTTCAGTCTCTATTGTAAACTTATAGTATGGAAAGCATTTTACAGAATTTCTCACAGCTTCTTTTGCTGTAAGAAGACACTTGCACAAGCCTTTTTTCTGCAAAGGAATATTCTAGGTGGGGCAAGCAAAGGGGGAAAGGAAAATGCAATAACAACAGAAAGAATGCATGAAATTCTAAAAATAAATCTCTCCTATTGGCGCATAAAGGATTAAAGGAGCAAAAGATAGAACATTTCAAAAAACACCTTTTATTGTATTTGTGATTTATAGTATAGGTAGAGAACCACATCATGTAATTGCTTAATCTATAAAAGTTGAGCCAAACTGAAATCTTAGATCCGCATCTGAGATGGAAAAATATTACAAGAATTACAAGAGGAAAGATTTATTCCCAAATCCACAACTATTTTGTTTTAGAATAGATCTAGAGGAATTTGGTTTGGGTTTGTTGCTTGGTTAGAGGAGTGTTCCACACTGGATGTAGGCAAAATCTTACAAGATAATGAACATTTACAACAGTTTTTTTCCTCCCATGAAATGTATCTCTCGGGCCTGAAATCTTATGAAAACACCTCACAAAAATGTGTTTGTGTTTCTATTCAATCAGAAATCATCCCTTAAAGATTGTCCCTGAAACAAAAATGTGTTTCTATTCAATCAGAAATCATCCCTTAAAGATTGTCCCTGATTTAAACTCAAACACAAACCTCAAACCCCAGTTTAAACCTAATATAGAGTTAGATGCACACATTCAACCTATCCCTGGAATGTATTATTTATGTTGGTGTTTCTGGATAGATGTTATGACTCAATTACAGACCTAAAAGCTTCAGTGGCATTGCATCTGTTTAAACCAATTTAAATTGGCCCTAGGAGAGGCTGGTAGAACTTGAAACACAGTTACAATAAACAAACTATTTGTTTTATTTTTCTAGGTATAATAAACATTTTAACATTTAAATTATTTTAGTGCTGTACTTTGTACTCTGTTGCTATTCTCTGCATACATGCCAATGTATAAGCAGCAACTATAATTCACAATAAGATATGAATGTCCTTTTAAGAAATAAGAATCTCTTATCCTAACTGGCAGTGTCACCCTAATTTTAATTAGGTTTTTTAAAATTGGAAAAGGTCATTCTGTTACTCTTTGTTGCCCTTGATTCTTAACTAGACCTAGTATTGGGGATCTAGTATGGGGACATAGTGATCTAGTATTGAGGAATGGGGGGGGGGACACATAAGACAGCATAGTTTGTGTTTCAAGTATATAGAGTTATAGCAGGTTGCCACCCCTCTCTCTCTGGTGGCTTTCACAGCCAGAGAGCATTATAGCCTGATGATGTCATTCTGTCGCCCAGCAGGAAAAACTTTTTTTATGTAGAGAGAGAGAGAAAGATTATAGAGTTTAAGGCCATAAGGGATCACCAGATCATGTAGTCTGACTTGTATATCATAGGCCACCAACATAAGCCATCACCCATTCACTAAACCCAACAACCAATATTAGATCGAAGTATTTTATAGCCCCCCAGGAGATGAAACTATTATGTGCTAGAGGCAAAGACTAGGAGCAACTGAGGTGAAACAATGCTCAAGGCCTCTACAATGAAAGGGAATTGATTAATACTGGAAAGTGATCCACAATGCATCTGGCAGATGAAAGTGAAAACCTGCAAGATCACTGCCAGTATGACCTGGGAGAAAATTCCTTCCCAACTGCACATATAGAAATCAGTTAGAGGCTGCATATGGGTGCAAAAGCCAGGTAACCAAACACCTGACTACGAGAATGCTCTGTGCTGCCTCAGAGGACTGCCCCTCCCCGATCCAGAGTCCTATATCCAACAGTAGCCATCTCTGATGCTTCCATACTCCCCAGCCCAACATACAAGAATACACTCGGAGGGAGAAGGGGTAATCACTTCCTGACCCTGTCAGGTGACCATCTGAAGCCATGAAGCATGAATGTAAGACATAAAAAGGAAGGGAGCCACAGGGCCATTGAGCCTTGCTAACCACCATCACAAGCGACCCCATCATACAGTTCCACTCACAAATGGATTGAGTTGTTTGCCTTGACAACTCCTACTTGGAGGTTGTTCCAGAACTTCACTCCTCCGATGGTTAGATTTGGAGGTTGTTCCAGAACTTTACTCCTCCAATGGTTAGAAACTTTCTTCTGGTTTACAGACTAAATTTGTTCATGCCCAGTTTATGCCCATTTGTTCTTGTTCCAATATTGACCTTTAGGTTAAATAGCTCTTCACCCTTCCTAGTGTTTATCCCCCAATGTATATATGGAGCTTAATCATATTCTTTCTCAGCTTTGTTTTACTAAACTAAACAAGCCAAGCTCTTCCTGTCTCCTCTCATAAGATAGGTCCTCCATTCTTCTGATGATCCTAGTAGCTCTCACCTGTTAAATTTAAATTAATATTTCTTGAAAATGAGTGACATGAATTGTATGCAGTATTATAGAGGAGGTCTTACCAGTGCCTTGCCCTATGCCATGGTATTAATACCTATGCATCTCTACTGGAAATGCCTTGCCTAATACATTTTAGGATCACAACAGTGACTCATAGTCATCCTGTGATTGACCAAAACATCAGGTCTCTTTCCTTTTCCATATCTTCCAACTGATAATCCCCCAATTTATAACACAGTGTCATTTTATGACACTGAGCTGAATGTGCTTATATTTGGTACTATTGAATTTCATCCTATTTCTGTTACTCCAGTCCTCAAAGTCATCTAGATCTTCCAGTATAATATTCAGATCCTTCTTTATATTGATGATGCCTCCTAACAAATTTCACATTTACTTTTGCATCAAGGTCCTTAATAAAAATATTGAAAAAGATTGGTGCCAAGACTGTTGCAGAACTATACAAGTAACCTCCCTCTAATCCGATATTTCATCTTTCCACACAAGTTGATGTCGTCTCCTCTTAGCTAGTTGCTTATCTACTTTACTATTCTTGTATTCATCACTATCTTCTGTAATTTATCTAATAGTTTCCCATGTGTTACCATGTCAGATATTTTACTGAAGTCCAAGTACAGTATATTAGATCTACAGCATTTTTCTTATTTAAAAATAATCAGTTATTTTCTAAAAGAAGGAAATCAGGTTAATCTGGCATGCTCTACATTAGTAAATCCAAGTTCCAATATATTCCCTTTGACATTTCCCTCCATTAATTTAATTATTAATTTATTTTCATGATTTGTTCCAAAGTCTTTAATAGTACTGAGGCTAGACTAACCAGGCTGTAATTGCCCAGATCACATTCTTTCCCTTGCTTAATAACGGTACCATGTTAGGTATCTGCTAGATATGTGGTAGAACTCCCAAATACATATATTAATTAAAAACACTTGTTACTCAACTAGCAATCTCAAGTGCCAGTTCTTTCAGTATTCTAGGGTAGAAATTATCTGGTTCCCCCAATCTGTGTGCATTAAGTTCTTTGAGGGTTTGTTTTTTTTTAATCTCAGATGTGATCATTTCCATATCTATACACTGATTTCCATCAAGCATACTTGATAACCGGTTCCATATTAGTCTTCATATTGAAAATTCAGGCAAAGTATTTATTTATAAAAAGAAATGAATCGGGCTCAAAAGAGTATGGATACCATTTTTAAAAGTGAATAAGTGACTTAGGATCCTAAGTTCCATTTTCAAAAGTCACTCAGGCCATTAAGTTTAATGTGACATAGGATCACAAGGACAAGATTTTCAAAGGTGTTTAGGTGCCTAAAAATGCAGATAAGCTCCTAATGGTGCACCCAGATGCTTTTGAAAATCTCACTTGGTGCTTCTGTCCCATAAATCATTTCGTGCTTTTTCAAATTTTACCCTTTATCTATAACAATATAATTATGAATAAGGACTGTTCCATTAAGGGCCAATTGTTAAATCTGGAGTGTTGTCACAAAGGAAGCATCAGAGAATACTAATGGTCTATTATGGTATAGCAATATTGATAGTTCTTGATTTGATTAAAAAATGCAGTGATATGCATCTCGGTTTCAGAGATTGAAATCAGCTGTTTACTATGTAGAATTGCTATTATCAATGAATATGTGTTGACCAAATACTTGTAGGTAACTCATGGACCAGCCTAAAAATTTGTTGGTTTTGTGTGTTAACTCTATACACGGGTATATATTGCCCTGCATAACAATAAACAAGGACAGAATTTGCTCTTAAATGAAAACATTTTCATAGGGGACAGCAAATTCTGCAAAATCTTCTTGATGATTTCCAGGCCCTTGTTCCACCACAGGGATGAGGGTGCCGAATTAACCCTTCTGATCCTGTTGGTTTCAGGATCTATTGGAGACAGAGCCACATGCATAGATATCCCGCGTTATCATCCTGCATCCTTCCACCATAGCAGCTTGCCCACATTTCTCTGTTTGGGCAGCCCTGTTAAATCTGACAGGGTTTCCCCGGTGTGTAAGTATCCCTTGTTCCACAGTGAGAAACTCTGGATAGATGAACTATAAAGCAGTTTTAGGGGAGATATGCAAGTTACTTGTTTCACCTGTATGGCCCTTCTCTGTCTATCCCCACCCTGTCTATAACCTCTGCTTTTGAGACATGATGCTACCTGCACTTGGCAAACATTGTTGGTCATGACTGGCTGGTCATAATATTTCAGCATTAAAACTGCCTGGAATAGTAGCAGCTACTTATTCATCATTTGAAATATTGATTTATTTGTTTATGTATTCTCTCATTAAATATAGGTTTGTAACTCATGCACTCTGGTTTTGAAATATCATATAGTAATACAGTTTAGCAGGCAGTACATGCACCACATTGGAGATTTTTTTATTAATAAGCTGTATTTAGAATATACAATGATTTATGTTAGGACAAGCTGTTTAATCTGATCCTAAATTTGTCATTCCTCTCACATTTGCTACAGCTTGTACTGCAGATGAAAGGTTAGTTGTAATTGGTCTGTAAAAGAGCACCTTATTTCTTACCCTGCAGCGCCACCAAAGGCCATCGGGGGAAACTGAATCCAGAGTTTCAACCCTGTAGGACCAAACTGAGTCTTGTTGCTTCCTGCAATAGTGTTGCATTTCAGAACTAGGACCTGAAGGTCAAAAGCTTCCCTTTGTGCACAATTGTGGTGTCGGAGGAATGATGTAGATCAGGCAGAGTCTATGCTACTGTCTCTTGCAGCTGTGCATTGCTGAAGATAAGCATTTTATGATTAACAAGGAAAATCAAGAAGATAAGCAAGATGGGATGAACGTTAAAACAAAAGCAGAAGTTTAATTAGAAAATAAATATGTGGTGAAAAAGGAATAGTTTCTAAATTAGTAAAGACGTGCAGCTTCCTCCATGAGGAGGGCTACTAAAAATCTGTGCAATGAGGATGTACTGTGCTTTTCAGGGTGACCTCACATTTGGGTCTTAGCCTGGGATTTCACATCCTGCCTTTATTTCTTTAACTACCACCAGTTGCATGGCTGTCTGTGCTCCATGGCAAAACATGTGTAGCTAGCTTTTCTGCATAGTGCCAGCTGCAGTTCCAGGGATGTGACAGACCTTTCTCCATTTATCTCCCAGATCTGTCACATCACCTATGAAGTTTTTTCCCTCCCAGCAATTTTTATATCATATTTCTGGTAGGCAATATCAGAATTTGATCTTGTAGATTTTGATTGATTGGCAGACATTTTCCAAGCTCCTATACTTTCTTCCCAAGGATGAATTTAAGGCTAAACATAAGCCACGTTGATCATAAAAGAGAGGGTCCAGAGCACTTGTTTGGGGGTGAGAAATGGGGTCTGTGGCAAGTCAAATCACTGAGTGTGAGAGTATTGTTTAAAAAAAACAGGAGGGGAAGAATTGGTCTGTGTGAAGGGTATTCTGAATGCTGAGGCACATCAAGGGGGGAATGATCAGAATCCACTGACCTCTTTAGTCTTGTCTTAATTCACTATTAGGGAATGACAGAAGGCAACTGGGATTAGTGGAGCTACTTCATGTGGAGGTAAATTAAGGGCGAAAATCTCAAATATTTCTTTTTTTCTGTTCCCCAGAGTAAAGTTAGCTCTTTCACCTTAAATAAATAAAAAATGTGTGTCCCATCTCCCCGTGGAAGGGGATATTAGGCTTTAGAAAGCGGGAAGCAGTCTGGTGTTACTACACTGGCCTTTCACTTCTAGAGACCTAAGTATAAATCCTGACTTTTATGCTCCCCTGCAGCCATACAGTTACAACAACTGGCAGTCTTTGCTCAGGGATGGCCCCTATGCTGAAGCAGGAGGAGTGTAGCAGATTAGGATGGGATGTATTGTTATTAGTCCCAGATCCTTGCTTTCAGGAGTCATATATTCAACCAGCTCTCCTCCCCTCTCTGAAAGAAAGAGAAAATGGTGAAGGAAAAGAAAAAACACTAAATCACACTAATTCCTACCATCCGGAAGAATTGAGCCCATCATCTTTAAATAAGTCACTATTACATTTTCAGTTTCCCTACTGACAACCCCACAGTCATGCTAGTTTATAAGGCACCTCTTTTTTTTTCATGAGCCTGTATGTTTGTGTGCTCCACGCAGGGCGCATGGACCAGATGCAGTGCTGATGGCAGAAGGCAACCGTCTAGCTGAGCTGACCCAGTCCCAGATGCTACACATTGCCCAGCAGATTGCAGCTGGCATGGTTTATTTGGCATCACAGCACTTTGTGCATCGTGATCTTGCCACCCGGAACTGCCTGGTTGGTGAGAACTTGTTGGTGAAGATTGGAGATTTTGGAATGTCCAGAGATGTATACAGTACTGATTACTACAGGGTAAGTGGACTCTCCTATTCTGGGTAACTGGGGTTGTGTTCAATCTTCTTTTAACATTGATCCTACTGCTGCCACTTTTAAACTGGATGATACGCACATTGGGGACTCTTAAAGAATTGTATATGGAAGGCTAATCTTGAGCTTTAAAGTTTGTTAAATGTGGAAGCTCATGACAAGAGTTGATGGAGAGTCCTTTTGTTGAAGTACACTTGCTTTGGTTTTCTTATAAAAGTGACTTAACAATCCTTCCGAGGTCAGAACTTTGGCAAATTTACTTGGCTGCAGAAAAGAAAGGCACCTTTAAAGCGATGATGGTTGAGAAAATTTGGCATAGTATGAGGTATTATAAAAATGTGTTCTTACAAATGTCTAAGACCAATGGTTTGCTTGAATGGATATAACCTATAGGCAGCAGCACTGCACCTATAAAAATTATTTTAGTGAGAAAGAAACAGAGATTAAGGCAGAACCGTTTACAGCTGATATGCTCAGCAACCAAAAAGACATGCCTCATAGCTGATAAGTATTTCCTATCATGAACTAGGGATGCTAAGTATTGGTTAATTGAATAGTTGAGTAACCTCATGAATTCTTATTGGTTAGTCGACTATTCTATAGTCCTTGGGGGCAGGGGCGGCAGCAGTGCAGGATGCCAGGCAGGAGCTAGTCTGCAAAGGGGGCCAGTTTAAAACCAGCTCCTCTTGTGGACTGGCTGCTTGTCACCCTGTGCTGCTGCCTCTGATAAAGAGGCAGCAGTGAGGGGTGGCAGCAGCCCCTGTCTGGGGGAGGGGGAGTTTGAGTTCCCGGACCCAGTGTGAACCAGAACTGAGCCAGGCTGCCTACCCGCCTAGCTCCCAATACAGAGCCACAGCGGGGGTAGGTCCCAGACCCAGAGTGAGGCAGAACTGAGCTGGGCTGCTGGCCAGCCTGCTAAAAAATTTACTGGTGTTGGGGAGGAGGGGGAGGGAGCTGTGTGTAGTCTATAGCATTAACCTATGAACTATTATATCCCTATCATAAACCCATTGCATTTGCTTTGTTGCACTCTTAGTGATGGTTGCACTTTGATGGCAGGTGAAGCTATCCTGGTATACATGCTGGCCTATATGATATTCATTCATGTCTGTGGGATTCACTTCCATTTTTTTCAAATTTGCAAAGGACTTTAAAAGCCTTATGACTAAAATATACTGTGTTCATTAATGATCAGTTTTACTGTTGTGTGATAAATATTTCTGTCATCTTCACCTTAATTTATCTGCTCATTCTGTAAGAGGACACGGTTGATTCTGCACAGTTGTTTGTGAGAGGCCTGAGAAGAGACTGTTATTACATATGGTTGGGAAGGGGCAGGGCAGGGTACACACAGGAACTACTGTAGTATTTATATTCATTGAGTTGTTTTAATTAAGAGCTGAGAACCACAAATCTTTTTGGTTTTGTTGTTTTGCTTCTTCCTTTTTTTCAATGGGCAAAACATAGCATTTAGTAAACAACTGAACCAGATTTCCATCACATTTTGTCCTTTGGGAATCTGGTATTTCAAGCTATTTGATGATTGTGATGGAAGAATGACATAATTCCAAAACTTGAAAAACTTGTACTGTGGTGGTTGCTGAATGTGCAGCACAGACCTATTTATCTGATCCAATTGAGACCAGGGCCTGATCAGATGTGAGGCTGCAGTGCCGTCTAGAGGCCACAGGAGAGAGCACCCACTTCTGGAGTTATTTGCACTGGTTGTATAGTTAATATGCAGAGCAGGATAATAGAGGGTCAAATAAACAGGGTTCTACTGTATTTTTTTATAGCAGAGAGTATTACAGCAGGGGGTTGAGACTCAGGGTTTGTGGGGGTTCTATTTGCAGCTAAAGTATCAACCTTACTTGTTATGAGTTGGGCAAATCATCATTCTATGCTTTGTGTCAGCCCATCTGTCAAATTGGTAAAAATGAATTACAGAGCCATGATGAGCCTTAATAATGAACATTTGTAAGGCATGTGGCCAACCTTAAATAGAAGGTGCACTGTAATTGCAATGCCAGTTTTAATTACAAACACCTTTGTTTTACACTTGCTCGATGGCAGATGGGAAAGGGATGGGAACGTGGATCTAATGCTGTCAACTTCAAATGGGCAAACCTAGACCTGGCACTAGCAGGTGGAACTTCATTGATAGCATTCTGCTTGTTTACACTAGGACTGAATTTGACCCATATGTATGTTCTTGCCTCATCTGTACTCAGGCAAAACTCTCACTTGAAGTAAATGGGGAAAGGGGAAAGATCCTGCCCTGACTGGCCCCAAGCCACATGTCAGTTGCTCAAGGCACATTTCAGAACCATCTGTCTAGACCAGGGGTGTGGAATCTCTTTTGGGTAATGGGCTGCTGACCAAGGTTCCCCTGTAAGGTGCGCTCCTCCACGGGTGTGCACCAAGAATTTCAGTCCTGCTTACCCCCGCAGCCGTGGCCCCAGCTGCCCCCAGGGGTAGGGCCACATAGCAGGTGGCTGCCCCACCCCCGGAACAGCTGGGCAGCCACCACATGGCCCACATGGAGGCTGCTGGAGCTGGAGCCTGGGCTGTGGTACTAAAAAGAGCACCATGGCTCCGGCTCCAGTCTCAGCACACAGGGCAGCCACCCCCCATGCTGTTTTGCCTGGTAGGTGCAGGTGTCAAGATGGCAGAATGGAAGGGAAGGGGCAGGGGGGAACTAAGGGGAAGGTAGGGATGAGGAGAAGAAGGGGCTTATGCTGAGGAGAGAGGGAGACCAAGGCAGGACTAGAAAGGGGAAGACACCAATGGGCAGCATGGAAGAGAGACAAATTCCGGGGACCAAGAGGAGGCAATGAGGAGAAAGGGCAGGAGGAGCGGCTGGGGGGGGGGAGGTGAGGTAGGAGGTGAAGGGCTGGGAAGGTGTCAGTGGGGGTGAGAGAGGGGAGGGGACAGGGTGATGCTAGGAAAGGAGAAGAGAGGGGCAATGGGGGCAAGAAGGAGGAAGAGGAGAGGAGTGGGTGCTGGGAGAAGAGGGGTTGAAAGGAGGGGTGGGCATGAGCAAGGCAGAGGTTTCAGAGAGGAGTGAGGAGAACTGGGACAGAGAGTGGTGACAGGAAGGAAGAGAGCAAGGGAGGCAGGTGTTGGGAGGGCCAGGGCAGTGAGGGATGAGGGGAAGCACCAGGAAGATGTAGGAGGTAAACGAAGGTGAAGGTGCCAGGGGGATTGTGAGGGTGAAGCAGAAGGACAGACACGGGGAGGGGAGTGGACAGAAGGGATGGACACCAGTGAGCAGAGGAGGGAGGCAGGGCAGGTGGGAAAAGGGAGGTGTTAGGAGAGGGAATGGGGGTGGCTAGAGTAGGAGAAGAAAAGTGCAAGTGGAGGCGGAGTCAGAGAGGATGGGGAGAGGGGCAGGTCCCAGGAGGGCTGAGGGGAGTGAGAAGGGCAGGAGCCAGGACAGCAGAGGAGGTTGAGGGGTGGGGAGCAGCAGCAGTCACAAGGGAGCAGATGGGGCAAGGGGAGTGTGGGAGACATGGCAGCAGAGGGGAAAAGGGAAAGGTTTATAACTTGAGTTCCACAGTGGCACACGTCCAAACAAGCACACGTGACCCAATATTGGTGCACAAGACAAAACTCGCTCTGCTCCTGGATGGAAAGTCTTAGAGAGAACACTGCTGCTGGCCCACAGAAAAGCAGTCGGGAGCCACACACCAGTGAGAAGTGTAAATCCCCCCCACCCTCACTGATGTGGCCCCCTACTAAGAAGCAGAAAGACACTACTGGCATTCCTCATGTACACCAGAGCCTGCAGGGGCCCACGCTAGTAGATTTTGTGTCCCAGCCCCGCGATAGGGGGTGAGTTGGAGTGCCAGCGTAGGCTCCCCAATGCTGGGGAGGCTGAGTCTTGGGGGCTGGATCAAGGCAAGCTGGGGGCCACATTTGGTCCCTAGGCCTTAGGTTCCCCACCCCTGATCTAGATAATCCAGTACATTTTTCTCTCTCTCTCTCTCTCTCACACACACGTCACTTTCTTTTCCTTCTCTCACTCTGCAAGAGAGGAGACGAGAGCTGGAGAGAGAAAAGGTGGTGGGGAGGGAAAGTGGAAGTAAAAGAGTGAGTTGTGCAATAACGAATGTGGGGATGCAGTGAATGAAGCGGGAACATAATCTGTGGAGAGGGATGTGTGACTGAAAAGGTAGAGTGTGATGATGGCAGCAGAACAAATGGGGGACTGAATAGGACATGGGGAGATTCTGCCTATGGGCCAGAGCCTCAGCTGGTGTAAAGGAGTGAGGCCCTGTTGACGTCAACGAGCTAGGCCATTTTAGATCAGCTGAGGGTGACACACAAAAATATTTCTTTTGAGCTTGGGCATTTCTTTTGCACACAGAGAAGCTCTGTTGCTCTGCACTGAGTAGGTCGACAGGCAAATGCAGAAGTTGAACAGAGCCATGACCTGCCTCTCACCCCACCTTTCAGACTGGTAGCACCTGTGGAGCTGCTAGTAAAGACCAGGGACTATGTACCCGAATGAGATTCTGACAAGCTTTGTGAATAGGGGAGCTAGTTATAATGGGATCCTGAAAGGCTCAGGCCAGGAGTGATTTGCCAGAGGGCTGTCTAGAGAATTATGGCAGTGGCAGGGATGGATAATGGCACTGCCATTAGGTGATGTTGGAGAGACTTTGACCTTTGTGTATAGTGAGGTAAGTCTTTTTAAAAGTTTAAGGTTTAATTAATGTAGGGAGGCACTTCTTCACCTGCACTTGACAGTTTCATCAGTTGCTCACTGGAGGGAATTACACCCCTCAAAAATGCAAGGCAAGAAATGCTTTGGTGGCTGCCAAAATCCATATAGGTGAGTGTATTGATACAGTGGAATTAGTTTACTCTGAGGCAGCCCACTCTTATTGGTCAATCCATTCAGGTTTTAGGTTTGTTCAAAGAGAGTTGTTTGATGTTTGCATAGTTAAGTGAAGATGGTCCTCAGCCCCTACACTCTGTCA